ATTTCCCATCTTAATCATAGACTCGGCAAAATCTTTAGAGAAACTCCCGAGGTTGGTACTATATTTCTTAACAAGATTATCAGTTTGACCGCCATTAAATAGTGCTTGATCAGAGTGCAAAAGTCCTTTCTTGGACACCAAGTTACTAAAATATTTTGTGTCAAAAAGAGCTGGAGTTGGATCAAGTGGAGCAAGGTTAGTATTGCCTCCACTGCGTGGACAATTGGCTTTGCGTTGGCTAGCAAAAGTGGAGTCGATGTTAGTGTCATTGTAGATACGATTCCTGAAGGTGGAACATTGAGCAAATCCTAGAGTGTGGCCACCAGAGAGAGCGACGAGATCTTTCTCATCCAATCCTTGCTTCTTGAAGTTGTTGATAAGTGCAGGTAAGTCCAAAAATGGAGGTGGGATATCATTGTTTGCTGTGGTTCTACTTGCTGTAGTAGAATCCCTTCTTCCTAGTGGAACTTCCCATGTTGGTCCACCTAGCTGAGTTCACCAAAAATCCATCCATTATTTTAGAACTAATATAATAATAAATTGACAAGATCGAGTAAAATGAATAACTTACTGCAACTACAGAGTCGCGAGCTGCAACAGCCACAATGTCTGCACAAGACACAATAGAACGTCCACAACATTTATCAACCTCCGACTTGATTTTGTCAATCACATCAAATCCCCTAATAGAATTGTTATTAGGTATTGCAGTCTTTTCACTGTCAATAGTAGCCGTTTTGTCTAGAAGAATTGAAGCGTCACACCCCTGCATTTACAAGAAATTATATATTATCTCATGAATATAAATTTGTAATATTGAAAAGAGGAAAATAAAAGAATCTCACATTGACAAAACAATCATGAAAATGTAAACGTAGCAAAGAGGCACCCATTCGCCTCTCTTTCCTGACTGCATCCTCAACAACTCGTTTTATGGCAGGCAAAGCTTGGGGACAAACATGATTGTAGAAAGAAGGTGAAAGAGAATCCGAAAGTGCCATGCTTGCTAGAGAAAACATGACTAAAACATGAAGAACAAAGAAGCTATATTTAAAAGCCATTATAACTATTGCTCTAGTTTATGAAGTTGCTACACTTTTATGTGTTGTGCTTTGGTGTGCTTTAGAGTGTAAAATGTGTGTGTATTTATAGTTAGGACAAATGTTGACTATGGCAACACGACAATGTTTTTAGGTTTAGCAACTCTCAAAAGAATAAGGCAGACATTGACAAACTCTAACAACACTTTTTTTTTAGTAATGCAACTTACCAACCTCCCTGATCCTTTTGGAAGGATGGTATCCTTTATACATACAAAAAGAAATGAAGCAAATGCAAGATATATATTACTACATAACTCTATGTTCAAATATATTTATTTTATTTTTTTGAAAATTGTTGTGCTGCCCGTGCTAATAATGGTGGATGCCAATGCTATGCATCATTGTACAAGTAATCCGGAGGGAGAAATAGGGAGGAGATCTGTGGGGAATCGAACCCTCACCAACAAGGTAGGAATTCAATTAGTCAGCCAACTAAGCTACACAATTTTCCGGAGAACAAGAGAATAAGTTTTGAGTTTAGAAAGTATATATTTTCTACAACAAATAGCTAGGAAAGGGGGCTAGTAAAACATAAAATCCTTTTTAACAAGTGTTCCTGCACATATTTGAAATAAAATAGATGAAGTGTAAGAAGAAGGAAACCCAAAAAAAAATAGAATATATTCGAAAATAAAAATAAAATAAAATTTGAAAAATTATTGTAATTATCAGAAGTATTCTCATTTGAGACTTGAAATATTCATATCAATAATTATATCGAATTATATGTTGATCGGGTAATTATTTGATAAGCGCTTGTTCATTAGTTGAGACTTTGGTATCAACACATGTATAGTAATTTGTCCCACTTTGTATAGCAGGGCACTTATTATTTATTACTCTATAATTAGTGTTTCTTTTTTGCATGGATGGAAAAAAAGGCTTTTCGAAGAAAAAGAAAATAAATTTAACCCCTCCTTGACTTTGATTTGAAGTTACTTTTTTACTCTCTTTGATACTCTAATGACGAAACAAATGATTAGGATTTGAAAATTGGAAGAATGATATAACCATTTTCTCCAAGGGTATGACCAAAAGCCAAAAGGTTTACTTCATGATAAGAACGTCTTTATTCGATTGATATTATATTATATGAGGTGGGGAGGGAAGTAATCGTGGATAATATTTTATATTGTGGCAACTAACAACTACTAATTGACAGCCAAACAAAACATAGTTTTTTTCTGTCCTAATTTATACGATGTAGCTTAATTGGATATAAAATTTTATTAAAAATAAATTATGATCTAAAATAAATCATAGATATTTATGTGACTATAAATCATCATCGCATTAGGGATAAAATGAGTGTTTTAAAGTTACATTGCTCCTATATATATTGAAATATGTCATCCTTTTTTAAGTTGGCTAAAATGGAAAGCATGTCATATAAATTGAAATAGGAGGAGTACTAATAATTTGTAAAATGTATGTGTCGATATAAAAATAAACTAGATATGATGTATTTGACACGAAAAAATGTTTTACTGGAACATAAGTGACTTTCTTATTTATTTTTTGATATTTGATTAGTAAACAAAAAATATACCAAAAACATTTAATATAATATAGGCAAATACTATGGATCTAATGGAGTTTGGAGTGTGAGGAGGAGGCAATTGTACTAAGTTTGTCATATTTAAGAACTTGTTTTATTTGAAAATATAATAATTTAACTCACCAAACATTGAAAAATTAGAAAACCTCTTTCAAAAATTATCTCCATACAAAACGCATTTAGTGTGGACTATATTATGAAAAAAATAAAAAAATCTTTTGGGTAGTTGTACAAAATGTTAACGCTAACAACATGGAAATAAAATAATTGTAAGGAAGTAATTGGTTAAGACTGATGTCGAAGGTCTTAATTAGTTCCTTTAAGTAATAGAGTTGAATACTATTGTCACAACTATATTTTATTGTCTCATGCATTAATCATTACTTATTCTTATAATTTATAAATTAATTGAAGACTATATGATATGATCCCTTGGCATAGCGTGTTTCACCGAAAAATCCTTTATAATATATAGTAATAAAATATGATGAAGAAGAAGCACGATCAGTAGATCAACAACTACGTTTTAATACTACACTTTGTCTCATAATTAAGGTACATTGGTTCTGCATGGATTGACATATGTTGATTTATTTATTTTTCGAGGGTATCAAATAATGAGTTAAATTGATATATCATATATTTGTATTCCTTTGGTTCTTTTGTTTGGCCGGTTGAAAAATTTTGAAAAATATTTGCTAGCCAAAATAAATTATTATTATTATTTAATTAAACCATCCATCTTGGTATTCACCTCCCGTAGTGAAGGAGGGTAAAAGTATCAATAGGGTCGGGTCAACAATAAAGTGTACCCTTGCGGATGAGGGGTGGGCCAGATCGGGTTAGCCTGTTGACACAAATTATTATTATATTATGAAGTCATGATTTGATTATTGCAATTTATTATTTTTTTAAAAAAATTTAACGATCGAAAGATTAAAATCTCATAATACTAATGTTGGGAAATTTGTAAATAGTAAGGGATGAAGGTACTCCTTCATTTTAATTTATTTTCTTTTTAATCCGTTTAAAAAAGAATGTTTTTTTTTTTTTTTTTTATAGTTTCTTACATAATTTTTCACGTGACATATTTAAGACCACAAAATTAAACGATATTTTGATATAAAAAAATTATTTCGTAAGGTTCATTAAAATCTAAATCATACAAATATATTAAAACGAAGGGTGCATTCTTTTCCTCATAAAATCCCCATACGGCCGTTTGTCCTTGTAAATTGTGGAAGAAAAAAAATAATGTAAATCGAATAGACTACCTCAAAGTTATGACCATATAAAGTTTCTACCATTTACAACTTTTTACTTCTATTGCTAACTGAGAAGGCTCAATGCCTATGCAAATGAGCCATCCGTTTTAGGGCCCCAGATTTGAGGGGCCTCCATTTTTTAGTTGTAATAGAATTATTATAAGAATTTTTTAATCAAAAAAAATTATATTTATCTTTCTTTTAATTCGTTTCGATACATAAAGAATATTTCTTTTTTTTTTATCAATTTTTAAATTTAACTTTCAAATGACATGTATAAAACCACAACTCCATAAAATTAAAAAATATTTTGATATATTAATTATATATATATAGTCTAAGACCATAAAAACATAAAGTTTTTTAAGAAGAAATAGCTTTAGTTTTAAAAAATAATCAATAGTACTGAACCTAGTTACGTTGTATCATCATATGATATTATGTTGAACAACAAGGAGTTGATCGATTCTTAGCAGGGAGAAAGATTGGCAATATGGAAGTTACTTCCTCCATTTCAAATTAATTGAATTGTTGAGGTGTTTCACACCCTTTAAGAAAAAAAGATTAAGACGTAAATTAAAATTAGACATAACTTTTCATTTTTACCCTTATTAATTATTGTCAAATTTATGATTAAAATAACTAAATATTAATTAATCACTAATTCCAATACTAACTAATGAAAGGATAAAATTGGAAGAACAATCTAAAAGTAGTCTTGAAAACTGAATAATTAAGTTAATTTGAAAAATGAAAAATGTTTAAACAATTCAATTAATTTGAAATGGAGGGAGTATGATTAAGAAGGAAATGATACTTATGATCAAGACATTTCAAAATAATCAATAGTACATCAAAGGTAATAGGAACTCATGATTCATTCTAAACACATCTTGGATTTATTAAGCAATCAAAACAACAAGATACAATCTCTCTCTTATTAGCAAATTACCACACAACTCTACAAAGTCTCTCCATTCACCGTTAACTTCTTTTATGTAAGAGAGGCTCTTCATTAAGATCTTTCACAATTACAATTAAAAACAATAAAATTCTTGATTAACATTGTCTTAATTAGTTCACCTTCCTGCAGTTTACGCGAATTTGACCTTGTTTCCCTGTCAATGGCTTGATATTTCCCATCTTAATCATAGACTCAACAAAATCTTTAGAGAACATTCCTAAGTTTTTACTATATTTCTCAACAAGATCATCGGTCTTTCCTCCACTAAATAGTGCTTGATCAGAATGTAAAAGCCCTTTCTTGGACCTTAAGTCACTAAAATATTTTGAGTCGAAAAGAGCTGGTGTTGGATCAAGTGGAGCAAGATTGGAATCACCTCCACTACGTGGACAATTTGCTTGGCGTTGTCTTCTAAAGGTGGGATCAATGTTAGTCTCATTGTAGATGCGATTCCTGAAGGTGAAACACTGAGCAAATCCTAGAGTGTGGCCACCAGAGAGAGCGACGAGATCTTTCTCATCCAATCCTTGCTTCTTGAAGTTGTTGATAAGTGCAGGTAAGTCCAAAAATGGAGGTGGGATATCATTGTTTGCTGTGGTTCTACTTGCTGTAGTAGAATCCCTTCTTCCTAGTGGAACTTCCCATGTTGGTCCACCTAGCTGTGTTCATCAAAAATCCATCCATTAGTTTAGAACTAATATAATAATAAATTGACAAGATCGAGTAAAATGAATAACTTACTGCAACTACAGAGTCGCGAGCTGCAACAGCCACAATGTCTGCACAAGACACAATAGAACGTCCACAATATTTATCAACCTCCGACTTGATTTTGTCAATCACATCAAATCCTCTAATAGAATTGTTATTAGGTATTGCAGTCTTTTCACTGTCAATAGTAGCTGTTTTGTCTAGAAGAATTGAAGCGTCACACCCCTGTATTTACAAGAAATTATATATATTATCTCATGAATAGAAATTTGTAAGTATGCAAAGAGGAAACTCACGTTGACGAAACAATCATGAAAATGTAAACGTAGCAAAGAGGCACCCATTCGCCTCTCTTTCCTGACTGCATCCTCAACGACTCGTTTAATGGTTGGCAAAGCTTGGGGACAAACATGATTGTAGAAAGAAGGTGAAAGAGAATCCGAAAGTGCTATGCTTGCTAGAGAAAACATGACTAGAACATGAAGAAAAATGAAGCTATTCGAAGCCATTTCAAATGCTATATAGTTTATGAAGTTGCTACACTTTTATGTGTGCTTTGGTGTGAGGAAGAGTGTAAAATGTGTGTGTATTTATAGGCAGGAAAAATGTTAACTATGCTAATACAACAATTGTTCTAGGTTTAGTAATAATGTCATTCTTTTTAATATTCTCACCTCTTGGAAATTAAAAAGTTTAATTATATCGAATTACATGTTGATCAAATAATTATCTGATAACAGATTGAGTTCATTAATTAGTTGAGACTTCGGTATCAACACAGATAGTAATTTGTCCTGCTCTGAATAGCAGGGTACTTATTGAGCTTTTCTTTTTGCATATTTGGATAAAAGGCTTTTAAAATAATCGAGATTGTATTGATTTTTTCAAAGATACTTTCTACTTGTTGATACTAAGATTTAAAAATTGACGAATGATGAGGAAAGGAGGCAGTAATTAGGGGTATGCAAAAACCGATTTAACCAATAAACCGAACCGAAAAAAACACTATTGGTTTATTGATATTGGGTTATTGGGCTAACGGTTTTTAAACGGTTTTGCAAAATTTTTTATTGGATTATTGGTTTGGTTTCCGGTTTTATAATTTTTGTTAATGGTTAAACCGATAACCCAATAAGACTATACTAAATTTACTAGTCTTATTGTTAATGGTTAAACGATTGTTACTTTCACACTTTTTGTTAATGGTTAAAACGATTGTTACTTTCACACTTTTTCCTTTGAATGCGTCTAGTGTCTAAACTTGCAAGAAAAATGATTGTTACTTTTATGATTATTACTTTCATGCCAAATGCTGGAAAAATCATGTGGTTTATTTGAAATTTTTCTTATCGTGTATACAATATATATGAGTATTTTCTTATTGGTTAAACCGAAAACCGAACCGTTAAGTACCATAAACCGATTAACCAAAAACCGATAAGAAATATGTTATTGGTTTGGTTATCGGTTTGAAGTATTTACAAACCGAAAACCAATAAACCGAACCAATAATACCTAAAACCGAACCGAACCGACCGATGCGCACCCCTAGCAGTAATTGTGGATAATATTATATTTTGTGGCGACTAACAACTAAATGACAACCAAACAAAAAATTGTAATAATTTGTAAAATGTATATATATACATATCGAAATATATAAAAAGAAATAAGGATGTGTTCGATACGAAGAAAAATGATTTTCTCCGGAAAATAATTTTCTTACTTAATTTCTGATGTTTCATAACTAAACAAAAAATAAACATCCTTTGTATTTATACTAATTGTGTCAACGCTAACAACATGCAAATAAAATAATTGTAAGGAGGGGTATATAGCTATTGGTTGATTAAGATGTTGAAGGTCTTAATTAGTTCCTTTATGTAGTAGGTTGAATAATTGTCACAGTTATATTTTATCGACTCATTCTGTCTGGGGTAAACATTGTTTGGACATGTGGCGACACGAGAGGAAGGACACATGGCACCAATGGGCTGTTTCGATCCCCGACAAGATTTCGGATCAACAATTCAGAAGGTGAAACGTGTAATGTGTGGAAATCTGAAGTTCGAAGAATGAAGAATGAACAAGGAGCAATCCAAGAGCCCGAAGTACTATGCCATGGAGAGTACAAAAGGGCTTGGGTCCTAATGACATGGCCAAAAGGTCGTGTAGATAGTCTGAGCACGATAGAGAAATATTAATTGGCACCACTAATAACATTAGTACATGGTCAACACCTATTCGATGTGGTACTTTAGACCTCAAGTGGAGGATTTTTATTGACCGATACTTTATCTTTATAACCTATATAAATAGTTTATTTTACACATTTTAGGACATTTTGATCCCAAAAAAATACAATAGCAATACTTTATATTCTTGTGCTCCAAGCTTTCTTTATCATTAGTCTTTATCTTAGTAGCATTTATTTCATCAAATCGTTCTTAGAGTGAAGCTAGCAACACCGGATCTAGCTCTCTCATATACATCATTGAACCTCTGAAGCTTTATACGATCTCTTATTTACTTTATTAATATTTTGTTGTTTTTTGTTTACTATCATCACAATATTCAATTGCTAATAATCAAATCTAACGAGTTAAACTAAGACATATTAAAATAGTTAATTTGAAAATAGATTCGGATAAAAATGATTGAAAGTTCTTCATCAAGAAATGCACAAATCCATTAAAATCAATAAGGCTTTGATATCAGTGTTATATTTCTTTTTGGAGAACTACGCTAACGCCAAGGTAGAAAATAATATGAATGAAAATTTGTTTTATATAAATATTAAAATTACATACCTTTAATTTTTATTAAGATAATATAGATTAATATGCATCATTACAAAATAGCATGCAGCTAGTATTACTCAGGGTAGAGGTTTTTACTACATTGTATTAAACTTTTACTAAGACTAAGAAATTAATATATTCTACTGAATCAATTATAAGACTGCTTCTACATAATTGAACAACTCATTATTCTAGAAAAAATATAACAATAATATATGCAATATCCAACAGTCTGTCCATGTAAAACCAATTAATCATAATTAATGGTATGAAATCCTCAAAAAATAAGGACATAAAGGGTATTATTTAAACGTAGTTGTTGATCTACTGATCACGCTTCTTCTTCATCATACTTAAAAAAGAATTTTTCCGTGACACACGGTATGCCAAGGGACCATATGATATATATAATCTTGGATTAACTTATATATTGTAATTTATAAGTAAGGATTAATGAATGAACCAATAAAATATAATTGTGGCAAGTATTCATCTTTATTACTTGAGGAACTTATTAAGACCTCCAACATCAGTCTTAGCCTTATTTGTTTGTGATTAATCGGTTTGAATTTGAATGATTTAGATTTTAGACTATTAAGTGTATTGATTTATATTAAGATTTAAGCACTTGTTTGATTTGAATAGGTCTTAATTGTTATGATCTTGAAAAAATCTTAATATCATTAAGAAATAAAATGGTAGGAGTATCATTATTTTAGACTAATTAAAAAGGAAAAAGTGTAATACATGAGACACTAAGTTTTTTTATCAAGTTAGATTTGTTAATCGCCACAAAATACACTGAAGGAAAATCACTTTGTATATGAAACGTATATACAATAAAAATGGGGCAATGATAAATATTGAATAACTCAATAAAATATAACTGTGGCAATAGTATTCAACTCTAATTAAGGAACTAATTAAGACCTTCAACATCAGTCTTAACCAATTGCTACCCCTCCTTAAAATTATTTATTTGCATGTTGTTAGCGTTGACATTTAATATAGTATGGAATAACTTTTCAAAAAAGTTTTCTAATTTTAAATGTTGATAAGTTAATTTTTTATAAATAATTTTTTTTTAAAAAAAATAAGTTGTTAGTTTTTTTCTAAAAAATGGCGTATGTAATAAAATTATATATATAAAAAAAAACAAATCTCATAAGCCTGATAGATGATTAATCTATATAGATTATCTCCTCTCCACTTCCACCACATAAAAAAAAATAACTTTCACATTTAGCAAACATAAAAATCAGATTGTATAAATCGCTAGGGGCATCAAATTTGTATAAAATCGCTGGCAGCCTCTCATTTGTATAAATCGTTGGCAGCCTCTCGTTTGTATAAATCGATGGCAGCCTCTCAATTCAATTTTATGAGTTTGTATATCTGCATAAAATTTGAATTTGTATACAATTGAATCAAAATAAAGTGTTTGTATATCAAATCTCTCTCTCTCTCTCTCTCTCGCTCTCTCGCTTTATACAAACACAAATTATACATTGTATTTTGTATAATCTGTGTTTGTATAAAGCGAGAAAGAGAGAAAGGAAAAAGAGAACTGGGCGGGGGAAGATTTGTATTGTATAATTATAAGTGAATAGGACGAAGATATATGTATTTGCATGTGTATATACAATTTTCTCTCGCTTTATACAAACAGAAACTCAATTTATACATTTGTGTTTGTATAAAGTGAGAGAGGCGAGAGAGAGACTGGCGAGCGAGAGAGGGAGAGTGGCGAGCAAGAATTTCAGGGAAAGAGGCGAATGGCAATAATTTGCTACAGGTTATAATTAAATCAAACTATGATTATAGCATTTAATTTGAATTAATACTTTTGAGATTATTAACTTATCAAACACCAAAAAATAACTAAACAATCACTTACTTTCAAAAAAATTAATTCTGATGAAAATCATTTTCCTTCCTACCAACACATTGAATGAAACATACAATATCAACAATTGAAAAGTATCTTAGAATACAAGTCTAGGATTATTTCAAATGCCTTTTTTCCAATCATACAAAAATAAAAACGCAATAAGTACCCTGCTATATACAGAGTAATAGGACAAATTACTATATACCTATGTTGATACCAAAGTTTCAAATAATTAGTTGATCAATAAGTAATTTGACAAATAATGTGAAGCAATTACTCTTTTCAATTCACAGGAGGTGAAAATATTATTCATAATTACATTGATTTTTGAATTCTCTTTTACCAATTCCTCTTATGATGTTAGTTATCGATTTATAATTATTAAATATATCATTTAAAAAATGCTTTTTTTTTCCATCCGGGTATTCGGTACCCGAGGTGGAACTAATCGCGGGCAAGTCCGCGCTCCCTATGTTAAAAAGCTATGTGATAAATAATTTGATCTTATATGCACAAGTATTTGTTACACATTATACTTTATTTACTTGTCTATCTAAAAATAATTTTTTATTTTATAATCAAAACTACCTAACTATGTAGTAGTAACACTATCCTTCAAAAGGATCAGGGAAGTTGGTAAGTTGCAATACTTAAAAAACCAGTGTTGTTAGAGTTTGTCAATGTCTATCTTATTCTTTTGAGAGTTGCTAAACCTAAAACATTGTCGTGTTTCCATAGTCAACATTTGTCCTAACTATAAATACACACACATTTTACACTCTAAAGCACATCAAAGCACACATAAAAGTGTAGCAAC